AAACAATTTAAAAAAATTATGTCGACCAGCATTACCCCGATCTCCAGTATGATGAAAGGCAGAGGGAAAAGGACAGTTATAATGAATGACTAAAGCATGAAAATAAAATATTTCTATTGACAGATAAATATTTCACGTGGTAGTAACTAGCAATCTCAAATGACCAAGGATCACAATTTTTAGTAATAAGTACAATTTTACTTGAACGCACTGTCCTTATTCTAACCGAAAATTGTAATAACTGAATTCAATCTTTTCTGCAAGAATTCATTTTCAAGCTCTTCCCATCTTCAAATAAAAAAGAAATTGAGAATAAAAAGAAAAAAAAAGAAAGAAAGAAACTGTTTGTCTTAGATATTACATTTACGGGGGAAATGATTAAATGCAAAGATAGATAAATAGAAAAAAAAAATATTTTTAAAAAACCCAAATTTTAATAGATAAATCTACATATAAGATGAATAAAAGGATAAAGAAAGTAAAATTTAATATCAATAATCTTAACGGATGAATAAATAAATGAATGAATGAAAGAATTAATCAATTATTTTTTTAAGAAAAGAAAAAAAGAAATAAAAGGCATGAAATAAATAATGATGGCAGAGAAAAAACGGGAACGAATATAGACGAGAATAGATAAACAAATGAGGGTTGAACTGTATCATTATTGTTGGATCGACCATATTATTCTTTAGAAACTGATTCATTCTCCAATATGTCTTTTAAGTTTTAAGTTTGGGACTAACACTCAGTTTTAAAACAATAAAGCAACAACAACAACAACAACAATAATAATAATATCAACAACAGCAACAACAACAACAACAAACCAAATAAACTTCTGTAAAAAAAAAAATGCATTGATATAAATAGGCATAACTTGCCGGAGTATAGCAGTTAAACAAAGATGGACAGAATGCTATCAAACAAGAGCACAGAATATGTACATTGTAAATAACTTATTTCAATAGAAGTACAAGCAACTTACGTAAATAAAAAACCCAATAATTTGAAATGTGAAATGAATAAATAAATTCCAAGGCATACAGTGCATTTATGAATAAATGAATAAACAAACAAACAAACAAACAAACAAACAAATAAATAAATAAATAGATAAATAAATAAATAAATAAATAAATAAATAAATAAATAAATAAATAAATAAATATTACTTTATGCAATTTTGTAGCGGTGAGTAATCCTGTCGGAAAACGGAATCAGTGTTCGGAAAAGCTATCATAATGCATTCCAATTCTTTAATTAAATTGGCAAGTGCACCCGTGATTAAACACGTTGTTACTGTTGTTTCTGTTTTTGATGGTGTAGTTATAGTGTTGTTATTTTTACTTGTTGTTGTTATTTGTTGTTGTTGTTGTTGCTGCTGTTATTTGTCGTTGTTGTTTTTGTTGTTGTTGTTTTGGTACTATTCACTTTTTTTGTACTCGTGTTTATTTTATCTGAGTATTAGTGAAGTAAGGAACGAGTAAAAGAATAAATGAACAGATAATATAATGTGGAAAAAATTGAATAGAATAGAGATCTAGATCATTTCGGTAATTCCCTAAAAATTGATCAGGTTGGTAAGTAGCTATACGAAAACAAGAAAGTGAAATAGATAGATAGATAGATAGATAGATAGATAGATAGATAGATAGATAGATAGATAGATCACATTAAAATATCAAAAGTTTATTGGATCAGACTACAAGAAATCAATTAGCATTGAATCAAGGATTAGTTTTCGGGTTGTAAATAGGCGTTAAAGATTAAAAAAAAAAACAGGAAAAGAAACTGATTTAAACTACATGTGTAATAATTTTTTAAACTTCAAATTGAGGAGTCTCTTCCAGGCTGTAAAATACTTGTTCAATCATTAACTAATGCAAACGTTGTGAATTAATGATTTATCTGTGTCAAGTTCAGACGAGCTCTACGGCCGAAGACGCCACGGGTTTGAGTACGTTCAGAAAGGCAACACACGAGCCTGGGAAGATGAAACAATGTGGTTGTTTGGTGTGTACCTTTATTCTTCCTTTTAGCGTATGCTGTCATTATAAATCTCTGGTTCTTTTTTATGTAGGTGTTTTACATCCTCTTCGACACACTTTACATAATTCAGCAAACCTTTCTGATACAATATCCTAGCAGAAACACCGAGGTTCTCGAATAAAAATTATTATAGTAATAATAAAAGACTGCATTTATATAGCGCTCTATCCAATATTAGTATAAGGTCCCATTACGGTAATCGAACTCTGGTCTTCTGCTTGCAACAGTGAAGCGCCTACTGCCACACTACACACGCCGGTTATCGGGGTTTGTGGGCCCGTATTCATATTGCATATCATATAGTGGGGAAAAAAATTCAGAGACACAGCTGATAGGTGCATGCTTTCTGTGGTGAGTACTGATAACAGCAATAATAGTATCAGTATATTGTATTTCACGTCCCTTTTGGCAAATAACATTATTTAGTAGGCGGGCTATTTCGATCCTGCCGTTTGTAGTCAACCCGGGCTAAATGGGGTACATCTGGAACTTTCCAGCAAAAGCAAAGATACAGTATTTGATTGAGCATCCTCCCTAAATAAATAAATGAATAAACAAATAAATGAATAAACAAACAAATGAATAAACAAATAAATAAATGAATATGTTAAATAAATAAATAAATAAATACATGAATGAATGAATGAATGAATGAATGAATGAATGAATGAATGAATGAATGAATGAATGAATGAATGAATGAATGAATGAAAATTCAAAACAATAACACACGAGAATCGGACTCGCATATATTTCTGCATGTGATGGTTGAAATTGAGCGCCTAGCCGCTAAACCACAGACGCCAATGCCGTGAGATCTTGAAGAAGATACGTTCAGTTATTTAACATCTTTATTTTATCGTTCAACGTTTAAACATGTTCTCCTTATCCTTTTTCTTATTTTTTTTTAGCCGTCTTGTTTTCAGTAGGCCTACCGTTTCAAGTTATCTGTCAGTTAGGGTGCTCAGAGGAGTCGGAGAAATTAAAATGCAACCGAGGACAAGCACAGTATTGTTTTAGATAGATAGATAGATAGATAGATAGATAGATAGATAGATAGATAGATAGATAGATAGATAGATAGATAGATAGATAGATAGATAGATAGATAGATAGATAGATAGATAGATAGATAGATAGATAGATAGATAGATAGATAGATAGATAGATAGATAGATAGATAGACAAACAAACTGTGTTTTGCTTTATTTTGTTTTTGTTTACGCAATAGAAATAATAATAACGATAGCAACAATAATGATAATAATATTAATAATAATGATGATAAACATTATTATTATTATTATTATTATTATTATTATTATTATTACTATTATTATTATTATTATTATTATTATTATTATTATTATTATATTATTATTACTATTATAATGATAATAATATATAAAATATAAGGATTAAAAATGTATAATGATGAGGATGGTGAAGATAATAATAATAATAATAATAATAATAATAATAATAATAATAATAATAATAATAATAACAGTAGTAGTAACAACAATAACAACAATATTAACAATAACAATAGCAGCAATAGTATCAACAACACAACCAACAACTATAATAATATTAATAATAGCAATAGTAATAACAATAATAAAAACAATAATAGTAATAATGATAATAATAATAATAATAATGATGATGATGATGATGATGATGATGATGATGATGATGATGATGATGATGATGATGATGATGATGATGATAATAATAATAATAATAATAACGATAACAATGTGACAGTACAGACAGAGTGTTAACAATTCGTTTTGCAGTGATAATGATAATAAAAGTAATAATCAAAATAACGATTGTTTTGATATTGATGCTGATGCTGATGCCTATAATGACGATGATGATCAAGTAAGATTAATGGGTTGGGTCGTTTTTTTGTTTTTTTTAAAGAATCAAACAACTGCTAGCTGATACATTTTCTGGTATAGATAACTGTGCATTGCGTTTCTTTAACCAAGTTATTCTGTTACATACTTCTTGTTTACTCCATTTTAACAGTATAGTATTTTATTAATCCACTTTCGTGATGACTTTTCTATTGAGTTTGGTTTATCTATTTATTTATTTATTTATTTATTTATTTATTTATTTATTTATTTATTTAAAAAATATTTCTTTCTTTCTTTATTTGCGTGTTTTATAGTTTAGCTTTGTTTGTTTGTTTGTTAGTTTGTTGTTTTTTGTTCATTTTTTTCTTTGATTTATTCGCTCGTTCTATTATCCGTTTGTTTATTTATTATCTTCTTTTTTTTCTGTTTTGTTGTCTAAGTATTCATTTGATGTTGTTTTGTCTTATTTATTCAGCTTTTTTTTTGGTGAAAAAGTGGCTTTAAAAACTTTTCAGATTATTTATTCAAAACCATCCCATAAACTGTTTATTCTCTTTTTAAAGATCTGGTTATTTATTTTGTTTTACAGTTTCATTCACTTGAAATCGCCACTTCCGACAGTGCCGATGATGAATACAAGAATAACCCAGCTGATTGACGGTGATCATGGGGATAGTTATGACAATGACAATGACAATGATTATAAATGGTGGGTTGAAATATTTAAATTGACTTTGTTGGAAAAAAATGATATTACAAATGGTATTCTCAATAGCCCGAGGATATATATTTTTTTAAAAATTCAATTTTGTTTGTTTTATAATGTACAGGTTTATTATAACTCCATTCATTGTCGTGCCAGTCTACTGATCCCCTATACCTGGTAATACATGTAATAATATTGCACTAAAAAGGGGTAGTAAAATACTCACTTCAAAACAAACTTTTAAAGTTTAGTTTTAGTAAGCGTTTTACGGAACTTGCAGCACAATAAGGTCATATATGTGCCGAAAATCAAACGTTATTTAAAAGTCCTCGGACGTAATACATCAGCAAGCCAATGCTTTACACTTTTTCCCTTTCTTTTCTCCTTTCGTTCTGGGGAATCTATTTTTCTAGAAGTTCAACGTCCTTCTGTGAGGGAATACACAGGCACAGATATCACCAGGAAGTATCACAGTTAGGTATCCACATCCGAATACAGCGCCATAACAAGCCTGTCACAGAACTGAGGCCCGACATGAAACTCCCCAGGGTTTTATTGGCCCCTTTCGCTGAGACCCGGGGTCCTCTCTTCGCCGATCTTAACGGTCCGACGTCGTGTTCTGGTGGGCCAGGCGCCAGATTAGAATCCGTATTCCAGATAGTGGAAAGTGATCCATTTATCCGGATAGATATGCTGATACGTTTTAAGTTGGTTTTCGACGGCTTCTTAGTTTGGTTAACTTTCCTTATTCAAAGTGTAAGGCTGTGAGATTTTAAAAAAAATTGCAAACAGACAAAAAAACAAAACAAATAAAAATCAAAGCAAACGTAGAAGAAAATTGAAACTAAACCATCAGGAAACAGTGATGCGGAGTCCGGAAAAGCGACTGTTGGTATAATATAGCTCTGAATACTCGGAAAGCTAGTACACGTCTAACACATAATATTTATGAAAGATTCCCCGGGACCCTCTGAAGGGGATAATTTTAGACTCGTATTTCTAGCACAACTGTAATCTCAGTTCGTAAAAGACAGGTCACTGTTACAACTTTCTGCAAAGACACGATCAAAGTTCAAATTTAATCGGATTTTGGAGACTCGAGCGTCCAAAGCCCGGATTAGTGAAAAGTGGATCGATGCCCAGCACTCATGTCCTGATATCAGTAGACGGCAGCTGATGACGCGTTCAGACATCACCCACCCAGGACTTTCGTAGTACGAGCTTTGGAAGTGCGGGTTTTTGATGGTAGGGGTGGGGGTTATGAAAAGATTCAATACCACAGAATTGAGAAGACAACAGATGAGGATTTTTTTTAAAAATTGAGTCGAAAAGCAGCACATCTACTGTCGAAAAATCAATGTCAATACTCTTCGAACGGTACCCCTCTCCCCCCCCCCCCCCCCCGGCCGCCCTCTTCCACCACACCCTTTTATCGAGACGGTCGTTTGAACCATACCCAGGGATCGTCTCCAGTCAGATTCATGTATGTGAAATAGACTTTAGAACGATTAATACTACAGTGGGAAATGTAGACCTCCACGAAGATGGACTTGTAAAAAATAAAGGTGTTTTACGCCCCCATCGACACAACTTCGACCACGTGGGAGGCGGGTTGTGAGGGCTGCGACCCTGCCTTTCGACCAGCGCTAAGATGCGTACAATACCCCAGCGGAAAGACCGAGGTACTCGACAAAAATTCTTCCCCCTCGGGAATCAGACTAGTCTTCTGTATTTGTTTGTTTGTATTGGTAAGTGTTTTACGGCGCTCGCAACTGCATTAACTCATCTGAGCGAGCGGGTCACATTAAACATTTTCAGTTGGTAGGAAATTTTGGATTTTTCCCGGGTGGCGGCCGAAGCCTACTCTAATCCAATTTGGACCACCAAGGGATCTTTAACAAGCGCAACTTGCACATGGGACCTCCTAGAGTTTTTGCCTTTGTTCGAGAAGGCTAGTTGTAGAACTATACCTTTCCTACCAGAAGATCAGGGGTGTGGCTGGAAGACAGCAGTAAGAAAAAGACAAGGAGTAACAGTAGAAAGGCTGCAGAAAGAGTCAGGAGCCCAGTGGAAGGGGGCAAAGGAGGTGAGGGGATGGGAGCAGAACTTGGAGACGAAAGCAGACGACAGAAAATTGCAAGAGGGCAGGAAAGAGGGTGAACGGAGACAATTTTAGAGAAGAACAATTTCTGTCTCTATCCGATTTCGAACCCGAGACCTATATTGAATAAGACTCGAACACCTTAACCTCTCGGCCAAGAGAGCCCGCGTCTTCTGTGTGCTACGACCGAACACCTATTCGTAACACCACAGACGTTTGTGTGACCGAGCTCAAAGTTTTAAGCCCGTTGGGTTGGGGAATTTGTCGACACAGCGAGGGTCGTTCAGTGCCAGGGAAAGGACGAGAAAGACAAGGAGAAACAG